CACCCAACACTCAGGAAGCAGAGGCAGCTAAATATTGGAGTTTGAGGCCAGCCTGGTCTACAGAGTGGGTGCCAGGACAGCCAGGGCTACATAGAGAAAGCTTGCTGGGGGGGGGGGAGGTATGAAGAATTACATTATCTGACATTGGTACAGTCACATAATTTCCTGTTTTATACTGGACCTATACCTTTCCCCCTCATTTTACTCTAAGTGATCTGTATCTATATTTAAAGTCAGTTGACTCTTATTTTTTTTAACTTGGCAATATTCATTCTGTGTTAACTGAGGAGTTAGGTCATTTACATTCTATCTAATTGTTGCTGGTGATGTTTGAGTATACCACCTTGCTACTTATGGCCAGTTTGGTCCTTTTTCATTGTTTTTCTGTTTCCTGACTGGGTAATTTGGCTGATTTTTTTCTTTCTTGAAAAAAGTTTTGTCTGTGTTGTGTTTTTAACTTCTTTTTTTAATGTTTTCATGGGAGTAATGTTTTTCATTTGGTTTATGAGGTTAAATCAGTTCTGATTATTGTATTTGGATGAGAATCAGAAGTCTTTAATCATTCATGTTCTTTCTATCCTCTCTTGAACCCCTTCAGGCTGTCCTTCACGCTCAGATGGCCATGTTTCTGCACACCTATTCCAGAGCTCACCGTCCTTATTGAAACCAGTGCCCATAACACTTTCTCTTGTGTGTGCATTCTAAAGAAAACAGTTTATCTGCAATCTTACAAACAACCAAGTGGTAGTGATTAGAATTTCCGTAAGTCATTACCACTTCTTACATTACTATTTCCTCATTTCTCAAGGTGTTATCTACCCTAATAGTCCATTAAAACTGTTCTATCAGTATCATTTTCTATCATAATGCTACCATAATCAAGGGCTTTTTCAGACTTTCGACTTGACTCTGTTTTTTTTTTTCTTGGCTGTAACTAACGTCATGTTATGTAGAACTGCCTGGATTAAGAATCTTTAACCACAGATGCAGGAATATAAGTTCTCGAGGGTGGGATGTTTGTCTGATTTATTAACTGATACTCTGCTACTGTCTAACTCAGTGGCAGATATAATAAAACACTCAGTGAATAAATATGGAATGGAGAATGAAATACAGTTGCGCTTAGAACCCCTCTCTGCTCTCTACTGTTCATTTCTAGACAATCTCATTCAAAGCCACATTTCAGTAGTCTCTCAAATCTGTACCTGCCAATCTAAACTGTTTCTAGACTGTTACTTCAACATTTGAAACATTGCTAGATGTCCTGCTAACACCCAAAAATTGGGGTGTCCCAAACCAACCTTTTCATTTTTCTTTTACTTTAAAACTTCCTGTCTTGGTTTTTCTACTTCTTTTTTACAAATTTCCTCAAATACCAAGGTAAAAACTTGAGTGATTATTGATTCTTCTTTTTCCAATGACTGTCACTTTGACAGTATTGACCCCATGTGCTCCTAACTTCCCATCCCCACAATCACTGTCTCTGTTTGCTCATAGCTCTATATTACTGGTATCTCCCAAGATCTTTTCTAGTCTCTAGCTCTACTTCAACACTTCCTACATGCCTGTACCATGACCAGAAGAACAGATTTTACTCTGAATGGCCTGTTTTAGATCCTTGCCTTAATCATGGCTTAGAATCCTAACTATCAAGTGAAGCACTTTTCTAATATGTTCACTAGGAAGCTTTCTTTGATCCCTCAGGCTAAAAATGATCACGTGTAATGTCCATTCCTATACCACCAAGTACAATGCATATCACAATTTCTTAGATCAGGACCTGGCATGTAACAAGCAATCAAGTGGGGACCATTTTGCCATTTAAAAAGTTATCTTCCAAACCCAGTATAAACTTCTCAATGGCAAGGACCTCTAAAGAGGCCTCCAAAAAGGCCCTGCGCCAAGCTCAAGATAGCTGCAGCTCATAGAAGTTTCATATTCAAAACATTGGCTAACTTACTATCTAATTCATCAGAAAATCAGCTCGCACACATGTTAATGATTGGTTCCAGTAAGAGGAAAATATAAATTAGTTAATAATTGAATAAAGACAAATAGAAAACATTAAATTTATAAATAATAAAATTATTTGCAGATAAATTTTGCATTGTTATTCAAAACTGTACCTCTAGAAGTATTGCCAACTGACAACTGATAAGTGAAGAAAATGATAAGTTTTGTTGCTCTTACACCTTGGAAGCTACTTTGCTTGAAAGGAATTACAAAGCTAAAAGTGTTTATATAACTTCATAGAACATAACTCAAAAGATAGTCAGACAACCATATTTTTGCATCAGAAATCTGAGGGCTTAGATATCACTGAACTTCATTTGAACACCTGAGTTAGCATCCTATCTCTGTACCTAGCTATGTTAATATGAACATATCACTAGACCTTACTCGGGTGATTTAAAAACAAATTAAAAAAAAAAAAAGATTCTTACAAATCAAAGAAGATATTACGAGGCTCACAGAGGGTAGTTTAGGTAAAAACACTATAAACGTCTACACAAACGTCTACATCTATGTCCAAACCTTGTGCCAACCTGTTTACAGAATACCAAGAAAGATCTGCTGTCTGCCCTTAATAGCTTAGGAAGAGTGGGAGGGCGAGACAGGCACAGGAACACAGCAGCTGACAGGAATTGACTGGAGGGCTTTGGAGCCAGCGGGGTGAGGAGGGAGGACTCAGTGCTGTCTGTAGGAAAAGGAAGCCCCTCAGGAGCTCTGTGCACACTAGCTGTGCCTCAGCAATCTGCTCACCCTCTGCAGACTTACAACCGGTTACGGCTGATACCTGCTCTCACCCACCCTTTAGGCAAGCATATATACATATAAATTTCCTTTTTTTTCATTATTACTTTATATACTTTATATCCTGACTGGAGCATCTTCTCACACTTCTCCTCGCAGTCCTTCCCTCTCATTGCCTGTCCCCCTATGCTCCTCCCTTTCTCCTCAGAGAAGGAGAGGACTCCCATAACCCATTATCTTTTTAATCTATAACTCGGTCTTGAAATCTGCACTCTTCTCTAACTCAGTTTTTTCTAAACCTGAGCTGAACTAATGGGAAGTTCCCGATCACCAATATTTTTCCTACTTAAGAAACTCTGGTGAGTGATTTCATCACCCGCCCATCAGCTAAGCCAGGGATTGAGTCATTGCTGGAGTCTCTTTCCATCTTTGTCCAAAGCCAACTGATTACCAACCCCTGTTGAGTCCCTCAAACATTGTTCTAGCCATCCTCAGCTCTCCATCTTTCCTGGGAGGGCCTCACCTAAGGCTTCGTCTCGCCCAGCATGCCATCATCATCTCCCACTGCCTGTGCCTCCCGAAGTGTTCCTCACAGTGCATGCCCCACATCAAGGCCAGTCTCGCTCTCCTCAAATGGATATCTGAGTGTATAGCTTCCTTGCTCATAAGACTCTGATATCTCGACACTACAGATAAAGTTAAATCTCTGAGTTGAGTGTAAAAATTTTGCCCAGACTCAGCAGCTCTTATGATTTGTCACCAAGCCTGCCATGGACACGGATAGTGATGCAGAAATGTGTTTCTGGGAGGCTCTACCCTGAAGTGCTCTCCTGAGTTCACATAACTATGCTTTCTCTTTCTTCTCCCACCCTAATCTCTTGGCCCTGCTTACTAGCCTGGCTTACTGATCAGCCTCAAACCAAGGGGAAAGCTTTATCATGCATCCCGCCTCTGCCCAGGACCAGGGAGCCACTGATAATGCCTTCTTTACAAATTTTGGGTGTGAGCGTAAGTGTCTTTGTGATTAGTGGCCTACACGTCCAGACTGCTGGGGTTACTGTTATTCTGGTATCTAATGGCAAATGTTCAAAAGATTGGCTGAAGGAACTCCATTTTTATCTGCCTCAGAAAATGTCTTGCCTTGCTTTCTTCTGATGGGCAATTCTACCTCAGCTGCTCTTTTATTCACCTACAACCATTCTTCCATTACTGTACTGAATGTGCACTCTTCTTTTCTACCTCATTGTCAAAAGAGGAAAGAGGAAGCATTAGGGAATGGTAGACGCTCTAGGCTAGGGATTCTCATCTTTGCTGATGATGGCACTCAGGGCTAGGTAACTCCTTGCTGTGGGAACTCTTGCGTAAACCACAGACTTCCTACTGGCACCACTAGCCTATAGCTATTATGTAAACCAGAAGCATCCTCTCCCAGCCGTGGGAGCCAAAACGTCTTCATACTACCAGGTGTCCGTGGGGCAAAATATCTCCCGATTTTTAAAACAAAACAAAAACAACACTATTTAGAGCTGGAAAGAAGGCTTAGCAGTTAAGAGCACTGACTGTTCTTCCAGAGGACCTGGGTTCAATTTCCAGAACCCACGTGGCTGCTAACAAACAAGCTGTAACTCCAGTTCCAGGGCATCTGTTGCCCTCTTCTGGCAGAGACATACATGCAGGCAAATTACAACACATAATAAAAAAATTAAAAAAAGATAAATAAATAGATAAATCTCAAAACAAAGATTTTTTTTTAAATCCCTAACTCTTTTACACTGACTTCGTTTCAAGTCATCAAACATGGTAAGAAGTAAAGGATCAATGGCTCCTTCAAACTGTCAGTCCTTCATGTGACAAACGGTGAGAAGGGAAGTTTAGTATACTCACTAGTGCTGTTGAGGGAGCATGTGACCAACAAAGGTCAGCTGGAGTGTCACTGCAAGGGAGGACAGCACGCAGTAAAGCTCAAGACTAGAACTCCCCAGACTCCGGGGTTAGTTTTCATAAGTATTTTGTGAGCTTGATTTATCCTGTGTCACTGAAAAGAACCGAGAGAGGGGCATAGGACACAGCTATTTCGTGCTAATATTTTTTCAGGAAAAGAGACAGAGGATTTAGAGTTGAAATAAACATACTACTGAGGCGCTAGCTAACAAACTGAATGGGCAACAGAGGCCACATAAGCAACATAGGAAACTGGCAAGGCTGGGGGCCAAGGAGGAAATAGAGGCACTCGAGACAACACCCACCTGTGGTTGACACAACGTTGTCGGGGCTCTCGCTGCAGAGTTTAGACAACAGACTGGTCTTGCCAGAGCCTGTGAGACCTATGCAAACCAAATCATATTCAGGGCGTGCAGGTGGTGGTCCCTTGCAGCAAAGTGCTCGAAAACACTGCCAAGAGAAAGAAATGGAGACAAACCTTAGTAACATCTAAAAGAACTATATAGCTAGGAAGATGTAAGTAAGTAACCCATCAGATTTCAGCAGGAATATGGTACCTGCAGGTGGAGATACCTGGGCTGTAACATTTTGTCAAGATAGTCAACACTCCGGTCAGCAGCCATGAGACTTGTCTATGCCGCCACCCCGCTAGCTGCGGTGGGAGCACTGGCTGTGGGGTTCTAACAGTCCCCACCAGTGCACACCACTTGAACCTACCCATGAGGAAACTACATAAGCCAATCTTAGAAGCATCCTGTACAATGCCTAGTCTGTTTTCTAAAATACCACTGTCTCAAAAGCCAGAGACAAAGGAGCTGCTCTTCGTGAAGGATCAGAGACATAATACGAAGTGCACCGCATCTTAGATTAGATCCTGAGTTGGGAGGAAGAAAAGTGCCATAGATGACATTATTGGGACAATAGTGAGGACTGAATATAGACTGCATATTAGATAACAGTGTTGCATAAGGTTAAATTTCCTGAATTAAAGAACTGTGCTGTCATTATGTAAGAAAAAACCGTTGTTCTGAGAAAACACATGCTAAAGTACTTGCAGGTGAAGGGTCTTGAAATCTGCAATTAGCTGGCTCAGAAAGAGTCTAAGTCTCTTACACTCCCCACCTCCATCTGGTGGGGAGTGTGATAGAGCAAACATGGGGAAACGCTAAACAGTGGGGCTGAGTGAAGAGTCTGTTATGGTTGTAGAACTTTTATATGAAATGGATGGTGCTGGGCATTGAAGCCAGGGCCTGGCATACGATGAGGAATAACGTGGCCCCAGACTCTCAGTCTTCTTGTTCTGATGTCAATTCAAAGGAAAAAGAATCTTAATCACTAGAGAACCCATGTTCCCTCTCTGCATTCTTGCCCTTTGTTAATTCGCATTTCATGTTAACTAAACTCACAGTTCTATCAACTACAGTTTCTGAGCTATGCAGACGTGTTTAATCTCCATCAATAAAGACAAGGGGTCTGAGTTGTTTGATACTTGAACTTATCTCCTATCCATTTAAGACATTATGTATCAGCTTTCCAGAGTCTGAAGTATTCACAGTATTTGTTTGATATGAACATTAATTCGTAAGAGACAAAAAATAGAAATTGGGAAAGAGGAACACTGTTCTCCTTTGATTGTTAGAACCCACAGAGGAAAAGACCTATAAAACTCTCACTCAGATAAAATCTGAGTTCTACTTGACTACCATACTCTCACAGTCAAGCCCAATTATTCCTCTCCCTCAGTTCTAACATCTGATCAAGTCTAGTCCAAATGACCTCTGAAACAGCTCTAGAGCAGCGGTTCTCAACCTTCCTAATGCTGCAACCCTTTAATACAGTTCCTCAGGTTGTGGAAACCCCCAACCATAAAATTATTTTGTTGCTACTTCATAACTATAATTTCGTTACTGTTATGAATCGTAATATAAATATCTGATATGCAGGATATCTGGTATGTGACTCTAAAAGGGATCGTGGCCCACAGGTTGAAAACTTCTGCTCTAGAGTCTATTGGCTTCTCTCTGCTTAGGCTGTGGTAACCTGGATATCAATACTCTTCCATTGCTTCCAGGAATATTTAACCTTGCTCTGTTTTCCACAGCAGCCACTGTGACTGTTCATAAAAACAAAATCCATTCTATATCCTTACTGTTCCTCAGTGGCTTCCCCTGACCCATGGCTGTAAACTCTTATCTGCAAACACATTCCAGTCAACACTATCAGCCTCATGTCTACCAGTTTCTAAGCCTTGCTAAGCAACTGTCATTTGAGGCATTTGCCCATGCTGTTCCCTCTTCCATACTGCTAGCTTCGCCAACTCATCAGCTCCTAGGTTTCGGCTTAACCAGCCTTCCCTCAGAACAGACGGCTCTGATCTGAGACTGCATTAGCAACTGATGTCAAGCTCTCATAGCATGTTTGGGGATTCATCATACATACAATTACAGTTTCACATTCACCACCAGTCTGCGGGAACTACATGTGTCCAATTTTGTCTCATATCCTCAGTGCCTAGGACTGGACAAAGAAAGTACCCTCCATAAATCACTGTTGGGAAAGTGCCAGATTGAGTTCCAAAGTGGCTGTACAAGTTTACATTCCCACCAGCAATGAAGGAGGGTTGCCCTTTTTCCTTTTTCCACATCTTCTCCAGCATATTGTCCCTTGCATTTTTGATCTTAGCCATTCTGATAGATGTAAGGTGAAATCTAAGGGGTTTTTTTGATTTGCATTTCCAATATGACCAAGGATGTTGAAGACTTCTTTAAGTGTTTCTCTGCCATTTGATATTCCTCTGTTGAGAATTCTCTATTTAGCTCTGTACCCCATTTTTTATTTGGATTACTTAGTTTGTTGGTATTTAACTTCTTACCTCAAGATCTAGCTATACCACTTCTGGGCATATATCCAAAATATGCTCAAGCATACAACAAGGACATTTGCTCAACTATGTTCATAGCAGCTTTATTCATAATAGCCAGACTCTGGAAACAACCTAGATGTCCCTCAACCAAGGAATGGATACAGAAATTGTGGTATATTTACACAATAGACTACTATTCAACAACTAAAAACAAGGAAATCATGAAGTTTGGAGCAAACGGATGGAACTAGAAAAGATCATCCCGAGTGAGGTATCCCAGAAACAGAAAGACACACAAGGTATATACTCACTCATAAGTGGATATTAGCCATAAAATATAGGATAAACATACTAAAATCTATAGTCCTAAAGAAGCTAAACAACGAGAACCCTAGGGAAGATGATTAATTCTCATTCAGAAGGGCAAACAGGATAAGCATCAGAAGTGGGAGCAGACAGGGAACAAGACAGAAGCCTACCACAAAGGGCCTCTGAAAGATTATACCCACCAGGGTATCGAAGCAGATGCTGAGACTCATTGCCAAAGTTTGGGAAGAGTGCAGGGAATTTATGGAAGAAGGGAGAGATAGAAAGACCTGGAGGAAACGGGAGCTCCACAAGGAGACCAATAGAGCCAAAAATTCTGGTCCCAGGGGGTCCTGCAGAGACTGATGAATCAACCAAGGACCATGCATAAAGAGGACCTAGAGCTCCTGCTCAGATGTAGCCCATGGGCAACTCAGTCTTCATGGGGCTCCCCTAGCAAGGGGAGCAGGAGCAGTCTTTGGCATGAACTCAGTTACCTGCTCTTTGATCACCTCCCCCTGGCAGGGTGACCTTACCAGGCCACAGAGAAAGAGGATCCAGACAATCCTGATAAGAACTGATAGGCTAAGGACAAATAGTAGGGGAGGAGGATCTCCCCTATCAGTGGACTAAGGGAGGAGCATAAGAAAGGGACAAGGGAGAATGGGACAGGTAGGAGATGAGGGAGGGGGCTACAGCAGGATATGAATTGAACAAATTGTAATAAATAATAATGATAAAAATATTTTTTAAAAATCACTGTTGGATGGAGAATGAATGGCTTTTAAGTTTTACCTAAAATAGAGAAAAGAAAGCACAGAGGCTAATAGGATGCTTCATCTAGACTATCTGGGTTCCCTATTTTTAAAAAGAGAAGAGTGTCAAAATAAGAGAAACCCTTGACTTTTGTACTTCAACACCAGAAGATAGCCACGTTCCCCAAAGATGGGTTTTTGAAGTACAAGATCTAACTTTCTCATCACACTAGAGAATCTTTTTACCCCAAGACAATTTCCCTCAGTTTTTAAGAGATTTTGATGACTTCTGGTAAACAATTTTATGATCCATATCCTACACAGATTTATCTCATCGTATTTCCTCTCTTCTTGTTAAGCCTGAGGAATACTGGTTATTTTAGTCTGCCTTCCCATGATTAACCCTCCTAGCCCTTCATCTTAGTAACTCTTGTTTGGACTTACTTTAGTTCCATTATGCTTTTCCCTACAAGATTAACGAACACAATAGTGAACAGTCTCCTCTGTGCCAACACATCACTTTCTGGACTCCCATGAAGACTGGCTCACACTGTCAGCAACTCTTCCCTTACACTCCTGATGAGTCTGGACAGATCTCTGCATGGGCATATATATTTCCTTGAAGGTGGCCACTGGCTAGCAACTGTTCACATTGAGAGAGGTCTTCTATGTTCAGCTCTGACAGCACTCCTTACACAACTGTGACCAGCTGCTTTGGTCTCTGGGAAAACAGTTAGGATGCCTTTTCTGTTCTAGAAACTAGCCCATGGCTCACTCAGCTCTTCTTGTATAGTTCCTCTGGGCCAACTCTTGGGAGGGCAATGAGACTGGTCCCACTATGTGAACCAAATTACCATAAATCTTAAATACAAAATGAAATATGTGAAGCCAGGAGGATGACTCAATGAGTTAAAGGCTTTCCACCAAGCCTAATGACTTTAGTTCATTCCAAAGTTATCTTCTGAGCTCTATGTACATGCTGTGGCATGCACACACACACACAGATAGATAGACAGACAGATAGATATACATACATATATACATACACACATACATATATAATGAATACATTGATATATAAATAGGTGAATAAGTAAATAGATGAATGAATGAATAAATAAATATAACTTAAAAAGCAAAACATGAGCAACTGTTATTGACCCTGTTTAAATTCTCCATTAATCAAAATCACTCTACATACTTTGCCCCAAAGTTATATAATTTCATCTTCATGCTCTCTTTAAAACCCCGAGTACAGTAGCTTTACACCCAAGCCCACCAAAACCTATATCACCTTTTACCTCATGACAGAAAGCCTCAGATACTCAGACATAAAACACAACTGCGCAATGACATTTGGCCTCTCCTGCCTCTTACATTCTTCCCAGTAGAGTCAGCTCTGCTCCCGTGGCTCTACTCACACAACCTGCAATGTCACCCAACATGACGATGCCCTGTGCACACTCCCACCACTGTCCGAAATCCCCAGCCCTGGGGTCCCAGCTGTTCTGATGGAACCCAAACAA